ATATATATATATATATATATATATATATGTAGGTGTAGTGTGCAGTGTGTTTATGTGTAGTGTGCAGTGTGTTTATGTGTAGTGTGTAGTGTGCAGTGTGTTTATGTGTAGTGTGCAGTGTGTTTGTGTGTAGTGTGTAGTGTGCAGTGTGTTTATGTGTAGTGTGTAGTGTGTAGTGTGTAGTGTGCAGTGTGTGTGTGTAGTGTGCAGTGTGTGTGTGTGTTTCCGTGTGCGTGCGTGCGTGCGTGTGTGTGTGTGCATATGTGTATATCTGTGTGTATGTGTGCATATATCTATATCTGTGTATATACGTGTGCATATGTATGTCTCCATGTGTATGTGTATGTATGCCCGCGCACGCGCGCGCGCGCATACACACACACACACACACACACACACACACACACACACACACACACACACACACACACACACACACACACACACACAAAGGTAAAGAATTCAAACAGAGAGCAAGTACTTACACCAGGCCTACATGACTTTGAAGAACGGATCAATAACAGGGGCGTTTAAATATGAATAAATCACTGTAGAGTATTGATCGGAAGTGGTGAACTAGACCTGTAGAATACGCAGAAAAGGAGAAGGAACTCAGCATAAAACGATATTCGGCTCAACATAAAGAACATGAGAATAACCCAAAGAAAGGATATGCGGTGTCGCGGCCAGCATACGAAACGAGAAACGAGGATCTGAACCTTGGCCGTCGTGTCTTCGGTCGTCAAGTAAAGATGTAATGAAAAGGGATGCGTAAAAGAACTATCAATCTGTTGTTAATGTCATATTGTTGTCATTTATGGCTTTCTTTCTTTTTCGCTCGTTGAAGAACTTCGCGAGATTAATGCCTTGCCACAAAATGTTCTTCAGACACGAAACCAAACAGCCAAATTACTGATCTAGCTAAAAGGATTACTTTGCTATTAGCCACTGGATTTACCCAATATATTATCTAGAATATAAGAACATACGTACTTCAGTGTATGTCCATTCATCATACCTGTTCACTAGCCATTTCGCGAAGGTGTATATGCTGTTGATCTTTTAAAGCGTGCACCAGCCTCCAACATCTTGTGTGTATCACTGACAAAACTCTTGTAAATGAAGCTTCAAAACCCTCTTCTTCGAAACAAGGCTTGCACTGTACGGGTTATCGATACGGAATGCGAAACATGTTACAGATTTAAATGTGGTTGTACAGTACATCATTTTTTTATTAACATAATATCCCTTTAGCTTTCAACCGAGGTTAGTTTTTACTGCAACTGAAAAGTCATTTGGGGGATATTAGATATGCACTGGTATGTCACTCACCGAGAGATTTTTAATGCGAACCAAAATGAAATGCAATAACGCGTTGCATTACTGTTATATATTGATGATGTCGTTGCACGGTTCGGTGGGCAATATGGGTTTCGCTGGCAATGCATTTGTTTTGCAAAAACTGCTGTCATCGTTCGGCGAGGTCCATTTGCATCCGGAATACAGAATGAAAAATGTACTGGAATAATAGAGGCGAAGAACGTTCATGAATTTTATGAACTTTATAACAGAACAGACAATGTCATCAGCTGATACACTCAAAATGAAGTTGCGCGGTACTCCCTTTTTCTCTCTTTCTGCTGAGAGAAACAAATTATCAGAGCAGGTGTTGCGTAGTGAATTATGGCTCGTGTGAGAAAATACACAAAATACTGAAACATTTTACTTAGTATTCCAGATGCACGGAAATGCAATACAAACAACTTCCTGTAGGAGATAAGTTTATCTACTTATTTGCATATGTATATAAGTTTGTACTTATAAATTCATATTATCCTAATTACATACATGTATATATATATATATATATATATATATATATATATATATATATATATATATATACATATATATATATATATATATATATATATATATATATATATATATAAATATATATATATATATATATATATATATATATATATATATATATATATATATGCATATGTATATATAAATACATATAATACATATACAAAATATATTTAAATGTGTGTGAGTATGTGTATGTGTGTGTGCGCGCATGTGCATGTATACATGTGTGTGGGGGGAAGGCAGAAAGAAAAAGAAGAGAAAGAAATAGAAAGCGAAAGAGAGAGAGAGAAGAGAGACAAAACGAGCGAACGAGCGAGCAAGATAGAGAGTAATTGATTCGATGTGACCGGTGTGCACATGCTTAATCAAATATCATTTATACAGTGCTAGGCAATCTAATATCCCCAACGCCTGCACATTTCCCGGTGTTTGTACGGCCAGCCAAATCAAGAATTCGCTCAGCTGGCGTGAGCGTGGTATATGGGAGTGTTGATTCAGGCTGACACTGCTGAGAGCTAAGAATTCCCTCGATGTCTCAGCGGCAGTCCCACAAGAGCAGTCGTGATATAAAGAACAGTTCAGCTGCTCTTCCATTTTTCTGTGATCAAAAGGTGATTGAATACATGATATTTTCTGTGAATACAAGACCGGTATTCTGTGAGGCTTGCTGAATTCAATGTAAGATTCTGTAAACTGGCGTTTTCCTAATGGTGATAACGGTAATGATAATGGTATATTCATCTTCATCATTATTTTTATAATTAAGTAGTGTTATTATTACTCATAATGATAATAATAATAATAATAATAATAATAATGATAATGATAGTAATTATAAAGATAGTAATAGTAATGATAATGAGAATGACAATGATAATAATAATAATAATAATAATAATAAAATGGTAATAATAATAATGATAATTATAATAATCATAATATTAACAGTAATGAGATTAGGATAATAATGATAATAATAATGATAATAAAATGGTAATAATAACAATGATAATGATTATAATAATCATAATATTAACAGTAAGGAGATTTGGGATAAAGATAAAAATAATAGCAATTATCACAATAATGATAATAATGATAACAATAATGATGATAATGACAACAATAATGATAATGATAATAATTATTAGTATTGCTATCATTATCATCATTATCATATTATAATAATGATAATACTAATTGTAATGATAATTATGATGTTGATAATAATGGTAATGATAAAATAATAGTAATGATAATAATAGAAATAATGATAATAATAATAATTATTATTATAATGATTATGATAATAATAACAATGGCAATGATAATATTATTAATAATAATAATAATAATAATGATAGTGAAAATAATAATGATAATGATAATAACAATAATAATAATAATAATAATAATAATAACAATAATAGTTTATAATGATAATGATAATAATAATAATAATAAGAGTTTGTAATATTAATGATAATGATGATAATAATAATAATGGTAATAACGATAATAACAATGAGGATGATAATAATAACGATGATAACAATAATGATAATGATAATAGTTATCATAATGATAATAATAGTTATTACAATGATAATAATAATGATGATAGTTATGATAATGCTGATGATAATAATGATAATGATATGAATAATAGCAATGATGATGATAACATTGATGATAATACTAACAATGATAATCAAAATAAAGATGATAATAATGATAATACTTACAATAATAATAATGATTATAATGATAATGATGATAATAGTGTCAGTAGTAATAATGATGACAATGATTATGATAGTAATCATAATAATAACAATAGTAACTGTAGCCGTAGTAGTAATAATAATAACAAACGTAGTAGTAATAATAATAACAATAACATTGGCAGAAAAACCCACAATTTAAAACTAGATTTATTGAAAGTGAGACCAGTTTCGAAATCCACCTGGATTCCATCCTCAGGTCTGGAATCCAGGTGGATTTCGTAACTGTGGTCTCATTTTCAATAAATCTAGTTTTACACTGTGGGTTTTTCTACCATTGTATCATAACGGTAGTGTTTTACCATTCAACAATAGCTTTACTTATAAAGATAATTGTAATAATAATTATGATAATACTATTGATAACAATAGTAGTAGTAGTAGTGATAACATTTATGGTATTGATAATGATATGATAATAATAATGATAATGATAGTAATGATAATGATAATAGTAGTAATGATAATAGTAATTATAGCAAAAATGATGATGATAAAAGTAATGATAACAATAATGATAATGTTAACAATAATGATGGTAGTAGTGTTAGTAATAATAGTAATAATGATAACAATAATCATCATCATCATCATCATAATAATAATAATAATAATAATAATAATGATAAAAATAATAATAATAAAAATAATAATAATAATAATAATAGTAATAATAATAGTAGTAGTAATAATAATGATAATAATAACAATAGTAGTACCAGGCACCCTTTAAAAGCATGATGGTGCTTTAACAGCATTAATAATAATAAAAATGCTAATGATAATAGCAACAACAACAATAATAACAATGATGATAATAATAATGATAAAAATATACATACACAATGACAATAATAATGATAATAATAATAGTAATAATAATAATAATAATAATAATAATAATAGTAATAGTAATAGTAATAGTAATAATAATAATGATAATAATAATAACAATAATAATAATAATAATAATAATAATAATAATAATAATAATAATAATAATAATGATGATGATGATGATAATATTAATGATGATGATTATTATAACAATAATACAATAGTAACAATATTTACTACTATTTTCATTATCTTGTCATCTTCTAAACTCACTTTTCAACGAGGAGGCTACGAGCCTATGTCTATTGTTCTTCAATGTACAGTAATATTCGAACAAACTCAACAGATAATATTGTTTTTTTCTCGATCTGAAGTCTGGACTAAAATAAAATGAAGAATAAAAACAAAACTGATACATCTTAACGACAGAAAAAACACAACCAACAACAACAAAAAAATAAGACCACAAATAATAACATTATAAGTTCGTAGTATCGATGTAAACAAACGGATGAAACTTGACATGAGAATCCCTTGGTGGAGTGGCAGGCTCGAGGTGATCTGCACGGGAAAAAGGTAGAGTTTTATCGAATGGTAAAGTGATATTAGTAGCTATCCATAGGAATGGTATGAATGGTAAAGTGATATTAGTAGCTATCCATAACTATCGAATGGTAAAGTGATAATAGTTGCTATCTATAACTATCGAATGGTAAAGTGATATTAGTAGCTATCTATAGAAATAGTATGAATGGTAAAGTGTTATTAGTAGCTATCTATAACTATCGAATGGTAAAGTGATATTAGTTGCTATTATATGGACAGGTTTTATATGTGTATGTTATTCATGTCATCGTTGTTGAATGTATATAATATTTTGTAGAGTTTTCGTATGTTCTTTACTTTTGTTTTGTTTCTTCTATTTAGTTGGAAATTAACTCAGATACATAAATTGTGAATGGATAGAGATATTTATATGATAGAAAAATGGGACAATATGTAGTATATGGTAGTGGCAGAGTACTGCCCCCTGGACCCCCGGGGTAATATATATACCTAGCACCCTTGGGAAGCATTTGCACACATATTGCTATAGAAGAACTTTGTCTTGGTTTGTATTGTTCTATCATTTCAGGTAGGTTTTATTAATAATAATAATAATAATAATAATAATAATAATAATAATAATAATAATAATAATAATAATAATAATAATAATAATAATAATAATAATAATAATAATAATAATAATAATAATAATAATAATAATAATAATAATAATAATAATAATAATAATAATAATAATAATAATAATAATAATAATAATAATAATAATAATAATAATAATAATAATAATAATAATAATAATAATAATAATAATAATAATAATAATAATAATAATAATAATAATAATAATAATAATAATAATAATAATAATAATAATAATAATAATAATAATAATAATAATAATAATAATAATAATAATAATAATAATAATAATAATAATAATAATAATAATAATAATAATAATAATAATAATAATAATAATAATAATAATAATAATAATAATAATAATAATAATAATAATAATAATAATAATAATAATAATAATAATAATAATAATAATAATAATAATAATAATAATAATAATAATAATAATAATAATAATAATAATAATAATAATAATAATAATAATAATAATAATAATAATAATAATAATAATAATAATAATAATAATAATAATAATAATAATAATAATAATAATAATAATAATAATAATAATAATAATAATAATAATAATAATAATAATAATAATAATAATAATAATAATAATAATAATAATAATAATAATAATAATAATAATAATAATAATAATAATAATAATAATAATAATAATAATAATAATAATAATAATAATAATAATAATAATAATAATAATAATAATAATAATAATAATAATAATAATAATAATAATAATAATAATAATAATAATAATAATAATAATAATAATAATAATAATAATAATAATAATAATAATAATAATAATAATAATAATAATAATAATAATAATAATAATAATAATAATAATAATAATAATAATAATAATAATAATAATAATAATAATAATAATAATAATAATAATAATAATAATAATAATAATAATAATAATAATAATAATAATAATAATAATAATAATAATAATAATAATAATAATAATAATAATAATAATAATAATAATAATAATAATAATAATAATAATAATAATAATAATAATAATAATAATAATAATAATAATAATAATAATAATAATAATAATAATAATAATAATAATAATAATAATAATAATAATAATAATAATAATAATAATAATAATAATAATAATAATAATAATAATAATAATAATAATAATAATAATAATAATAATAATAATAATAATAATAATAATAATAATAATAATAATAATAATAATAATAATAATAATAATAATAATAATAATAATAATAATAATAATAATAATAATAATAATAATAATAATAATAATAATAATAATAATAATAATAATAATAATAATAATAATAATAATAATAATAATAATAATAATAATAATAATAATAATAATAATAATAATAATAATAATAATAATAATAATAATAATAATAATAATAATAATAATAATAATAATAATAATAATAATAATAATAATAATAATAATAATAATAATAATAATAATAATAATAATAATAATAATAATAATAATAATAATAATAATAATAATAATAATAATAATAATAATAATAATAATAATAATAATAATAATAATAATAATAATAATAATAATAATAATAATAATAATAATAATAATAATAATAATAATAATAATAATAATAATAATAATAATAATAATAATAATAATAATAATAATAATAATAATAATAATAATAATAATAATAATAATAATAATAATAATAATAATAATAATAATAATAATAATAATAATAAT